AGGCTGTGGTGTCCAAGCTGCAAGGGACGTGCCAGTGCAGAGCCCTGGGGGCCCTGGGAGCCCTGGGACCTCAGGCTGCTGTGCCAGGGTTTGTCAATTTGTAAGTGAGCTGCCAATTCAAATTATTCTCTAGCAATTTGTTTGGAATGATTCCTTTTGTAGCACAGAGCATAGATCTATAATACTTATGCTCACAATGATGATCTGAAGTCATATTCTACTCCCGGCTATGCCTCTACTGAGATGAGAGGTGAGCTGATTTTTCTGTCTTCATTTGAAACATGAAGCTACCTCCCCTCCAAGACCTCTTCTAGTTTGAATTATTATCTGACTTTGTAATATGATAAAACTAAGCCAAGGCTGTGGTTGTTAGGCTGTACCTCCTAATGTGCTTTAGTTTGGGGTTCCTCCAGGAACAGACTATTGTGCGTGAGGAGCTAAGCTGGATGATGGCACCAGAAACCCCACGAGGGGGGACCTGAGATGTGTTAGCCCCATTCCTTAGGGAACAGACCGCAGGTTGGTAATGAATAGGAGGAACTTGGTTAGGGGAACACCTGTGTGAGGGCAAACGGAGCGGGTGCCCTGGAAGCCACCAGACCACCATGCACGTCTGATCCCAGCAAAAGAGCAAAGGGGAGGACCTTGGGTGCCTTTTAGAGTTGAGGATGTTCTTCAGGGAGTCATTGCATGAAAATTAGCCAGCAGTGAGGTCCCATGTAGCCCAGAGCAGCCCAGGGTGCCATCCCTGCCTCCATACTACAGGCTGGGTGGAGGGTACATGGCCTCTGCACAAATGCTTCTGTGGATTGGGAAGTGCAGCAGCGGAGCTGCCTGGGGCCACTCCCTGCGGTCAAAGGTCCGCTGGGCTTTTTCATGGTTACAGCATGAGAAGCAGAAGGGAAGGGAGGCCCACACAATGCATTATTATTCTAGTTACCAGCATGGATGAGATGGCAGAACTTGTACTCAAGGCTACCCTAGCCTAGGTTGAGGGCTGGGGTATCTCTCTGCAAGCCCCACTGGCCACTTATGTAGGACTGCCAGCAGAGGCAGGAACCCCACGGCCCTTCCAGCCTGCACACACCTTGACAGAGTGTAGAAAGCCCTCAGGCAATGGCATGTGTTTGCAGATGGAAGTCCGGCTGGTGGGGCCGGCACTGAGGATGACCTTCTAAAGGTACAGTGTAGTCGGGATTCACTTTGTGTAGCCACTTTACCATGTGAACGTACTGTGGGCTTCCCCTCCCCTCCCCACTGGCTTTTGCACCCGGATGCAGAAACCCTGGGACAGCCCCCTTTCCTTGCAGTCAGGGACTTGTATCTCCTCCTATCACTGCCCGCCTCAAGATCTGAGTAGCCCGTTTTTCTTTACGAAATGCAGTGAGAAAGCTGTTATTGAGCAAGAACCAATAGGCCTGAAGAAAGGAAACGAAGCCCAGCACAGTCAGGTTTCAAACAAGAGCAGAGCTAGCCTTTCAGGGGGCCCTCGGGGCCAAGGCGGGACACACTCACACTCCAGGGACAGGTAATGGCTGTGACACGAGTCTCCCACTAAAGATTCCGGAGAACAGGGTCCAGAACAGATGTCTCATTGGTGGGCATTGTTTGCCAAAAGCGATCTGGGACTACTTCCCGGGGAGCCTGAGTTATACAATCAACTGATTTTTACTAGTGGCTGAAAGTGCCGAAGGAATCCACATGGCAAGTTTGGCTGCAAGGAGGACATGATACGCTTGTGAATCCACAAATATCCATCACAGCGCCTAGGAGCAGAGAGCTTTCACCCTTTATGCTTGAATGGCTGGGAATTTTCTCATGGCACTACTGAATTTAGGAGTTCCAGAATTGTCCTCGATGCCAAAGTGACAAATAAGTGCTTGGTGTGAGTGTTCTGCAGGAACATCAGCTCCGTAAATTGCCCATGGAAAGTTCGCAGATGTTCAATAAATATTAATGACTGTTAATGCTAAATTAATCTTAGAAGTGGTAGGTGTTCGCCATAGGAAAACCTTCATTGCCTGAATGCATTTCTCTCAGTACCACTTCCAGGCCGATGAGAAAGAACAATCTACACTAAGTTCAGCTCAGTCTTCTCTCAGGTCCAGGGCTAGAGGGGGGACTGCCAGCATTTCAGTCACACCACACATGGGCCTGGTTTCTGCTTCTGCCTCGTCTGCTGTAGAGGGTGGATGTGTTTGCCTCACAGGTGCTTGAACTAAAACTATCCCACTTTGCTGAACGAGATTATTACAGATAGGAATTTTAATCAACAAAAATGCAATGTACAAAATGTCATTTCATTTTTTGTGGTTGTTGTTATTCTGCAGCCTGCTTAGTATGGTGTGAAGAGTGGCCAATGAAAAGACCAAGAGATCAGTGCACTAACTCCTGCCGCAGAGACACGGAGCCTTCACTAACATGGGTCTTGCCTCACAGCCTGGGCGGCCCAGCAGTGCACGACAGCCCGCTCACTGGAGCAAGTCGGTAGAATCCCAGGTGCTCTCTATTCTCAAAAACAACCATTCTTTCCTCAGATACTCAGCCTTTGTGTGTTTTTTTAATCCCTAATGAAAGTTTTTTAAAAAACAAACTATATGATTGTTAAGCAAGGAAACGGTAGTTGAATGAAGCCAATAATGTGAGGCTCTGTTTAACTTTGTGAAACTGAATCATATTCAACTTGTTCTACATACTGATTTCCTATTCCTGGTAGGAAGGAAGTTGGAAGTGTAGACAGGTGGTCTAAGCTTTCTCTTCGAGACCTCCTCTCTTACACCAACCTGGGGTGCTGCTTGCTCCCACCTGAGGGCAAGTGAGAGATGCCTGAAGGACATGGAAGGCAGTAACTTCCCTGTAGAGTGGCCAGGACCCAGTCCACTCATGTCCAGAAAGAAGGAGAGCTGTGGGCAAGGGCCTGGGGAGTGGATGGAGGTGCAGGCAAGCAAAGGTTTAGGACACTCCCCTCATCTCTTGGTTACTTGCTCCTCTGAGCCTGGCGTAGTGTGATCTCATGTGTGGTATTGTTCATCCAGGCCTGGAAAATGGGTCACTAACGAAAACTGCCAGATCTATAGCTCCACATTTTACTATCAAAAAGGTGCAATTTACTAGCAAAGCTGGCCATGCTACATTGAATTGTCTAGCCTTCTTAATAATCATTATTAATCACTGAAAAATAGTGACATGGGTTAGAGTAGGCTGCTTCTAAGATGGCCCCAGTGAGCCCGTTGCACATGCGACGTTTATTGTGAAGTATCAGAAGGTGCTTATCAATAGTGTGATCTGCAGTTATGCCGAGCACAGAAGAGGTTTTCTACTGTTATCTAATAACTTTGGTCGTTTGGCTGAGGGGATCTCTCAGCAGTGGGGCCGTGCCAGCTGGGTTTTTCTTGAGAAAAGAGCAATGAGAGAAGAGAGATTCACTGAGGGAATAATTATTAAACAAAAAGAAAATGAGACCCTGAGACTAAAGGTACCCCCAGGGACTTCTGGACTCAGCCTGCACGTGCAAAGAGCTTAGAAGGCAACCCCCCCCACCTTTACAGCAAGAAAAGCCTGAATAAATGGAACACCCATGTCCTTTCCTGGGCCCAGAAGAGTGGAGGTCCCAGGGCACTCAGCTCCCCAGGGAATCCGCCGCGGAGGGAGAACTAAGCATCACTACTGAGGTCAGCTTCCCTCCCTCAGGCACATGCGCTGGAGACCCGAGGGGGGTGGGTGGAGACTTCCCTGGCAAAGCTGGTGAAGTGCTGGAGGCTGAGGGCGGAGTCGAGTGAGAACGCGAAACTCCCTGGGGCCACACGCTTGGGGCTTTACTTGAGAAATGAGTGGAATCGACAACAGTGTCTGTAAGCTCCTGTGAAGGACTCCCCGTGGTCCAGGCAGCTGATAAAAAGGATAACAATGCCGTTTGACGAATGCCTACTACTGTGTTCAGCACCTTCTACACACCAATATTTTGGAGCCTCGGCCTCTTTCCCGGGCATACAGCACCATCACGCCTGCCTTAGGGCTGTGACGTAGATGAGAGAGACTTCGCCCCAGGAGGTTCCCTAGGAGAGCAAAGGCCAAGATTCTACCCAGCATCTGCCCCGCGGGCATCCGCCCTCCACTGTGACGCACGCATGCCCCCAAACGTGCCTCCACGTTCCAGAACAGAGACGGCAGCAGTTGCTTGTGAACTTCAGTGGGCAAAATCCACCGAACATCATAGTTTATTGTACAAAATGGAGATTCTTCCTATTTAGATTTGGCACGGCTGAGGAAATGACAAAGAATGTTGGCAAACCCCTGCGACTGAAATCCTTTTACTCTGAAAGGGGCTGGGCCCCCCTCTGGTTCTCCCAGGTGAAGCCAACTCCTTCCCCCACCTTACAGATGATGAAACTGAGGGCCTGGGGCTCGGAGAGGGGGAGACAGAATCACGCGGATTGATTTTCCATCCTGAATTTCCAAACTCACTATCTCTACCTGGATAGGCCTAGGAAAAAACCTTCTGTGTGGCTAAATGGCAGGGCAGCACCCCGACGTGCCCGGTCCACTGCCCAGCCCCTGATGCTGGAATGTCGCCCTGCGTCCTGCCGGAGCAGCTGCTCTTCGCTGTTCTCAGTCCCCGGGGGCCCCTTGCCCACCCCCCGGGCGAACGCTGCCTGATCAGAGCAAGACTGGACAGGCGCCCACGGAGAAGCAGCAGCCCCGGGGAGCGGCCCGTCCTTGCGGAAAGGAGCAGGTGCCTCGGCTGCGCTCCCCCAAGACGGCCAGCGCCGTGGCCTTGTTGCGCTCGGCGGCCGCAGGCGGCGACTCAGCCAAGGAGCCGGGCACCGTCCCCTCCGCCCGTGTGGCGGCGCCTGGCAGAGCCTCGCGTGCCACCTCCCGACCATCCCGGGAAGGCCTGGCGACCGCGGCGGCGGAGAACTGCGGGCGAGGCGCCCTTCCCGGTCCACCCGGCGGGGCGGTGCCGGCCCACCCCCCACCCCCCACCCCCCGCGGGCACCTACCTGCGCGGCGGCTCGGACGGAGCTCCGTGGGGCGGACGCGCGCCGGCGGTGCCAGGCGCCTGAACTGCCGCCCTCCTCGGCGCCGCGGGCTGCGGCTGCACCGTCCCCGGCGCGGGGCCCGGCTAGAGCCGCCGCGGGAGGACGCGGCCCCGAGGGGAGCGCCCACCTCGCCGCCCTCCGCGCGCCAAGGAAGTTTACAACGTGGAGCACCGGCCTCCAGCTCGCTGCGGACATGAATCAAACAGCGGGAGCCTCCAACAACGTCAAGTGCCCCCCGGGGAAGGGCCACAAGGTAGGGGACCCGACGGGGGCCGGGCGGGCCCGGGGGAGCAGGGCGAGGACGCCGGCCGCTCCGGGGGCGCGGGCGCGGGCTTCGGGGGAACAGGTGGTGCTTCCCGACGCAGCGCGGAGCCGCGCCCGCCGCGCACCTGCCCGGGCTGCCCGGGACCCGTGGGCTGCGGGCCGCGCGCGGCTGGGGTCCCGGGCACACGCGGCTGCCTGCCCCGGCCGCCGAGTCTGTAGGGCGGGGAAAGGTCAGCGGTGGGGGGCAGGCCCTGTCCGTGGCTCAGACACGTACGTAATTAACTTCAATGAACCGAAGCGTGCCTGGAATGATTTCCAGGAAATTACTGACGTTCAGAGAAAGGACAGCGGGCAGCGGCCTGAGGAATCTTTGGGGAACCTCTCTAGTAGCGAAGAAACAGAGGGCCAGAGAGGGCCCCAGCTTCGCAGGTGTCCTGTGTGGCCCAGCCTTGCGTGGCTGGAGCCAGTCCTCCCTTCTCTCACCTAGCTGCGGCTCCCCGTGGGCTGTAATTAGTCTGGAAGGGAATTCCTCACCTGGGTTACACAGGGAAGCCATGTAGCAGTTGTATCAATGTACTTTTAAAATACTTTAGAGTATTTCTAATTTTAACAAAAGTGAAAGAAGGCAGGTACTTTGAATCTCAGATGTTTGATCTGTAGCCTGAATCTGTGCTCTAGTTTTTTGTCTTGTTTGCTGCATTTTATGTTTACATCTATACATTTTTATATAGAGAGGCATATATATAGTTTATAAGCATGTTATTAGATTGTTCTGCTAATACCTGTTTATTGGGTGTTGGACATGTGGAGTTAGAGTTAGTAATCATATTTGACTCATTAGTGTATGAAGAAACTCCTGGTTGAGGTATGTAAAATGAGGATTTGGGACTGAATTCCTTAATTTCTATGAGTAATATCTATCATTTTCTACTCAGTCAGGTCTGGGTGAAACATTTGAATCAGCAGGTCATATCTCTGAAGTCCATTCTCATTAACTAGGATTTGAGTGGTTACACTTTTCACATTTATTTTATTTAATATCCATAGGAAATGTCTCTTTAATATGTAGTAGCTGATATTATAAGATTTTAAATTAAAAATAATAAAGTTGCACACATCAGTGATTATGTAGTAGAGACATCTGTGGAGTTCAGAAGATCATTCAGTAATTTCTTTTTAAAAAATGCTTTTGGTTCCAGTGTTAAAGTGGCTTCTTGGCAGAGTTGGACTGCAGTGTATTGACACCAATAAAACTTTCTGGGAAGTGTTTGAACCCACAGCAACAATTTAGGAAGTGCTAAGGAACCTGTTAGTCACCAGGAGGGATTATCCTCTGCCTGTAGCAGGTGCCCTACAAGTGCTCAGTCCATTGCATTATATTCATTCAGTAAATAATCATACTCATCATGTATCATTCACTTAACAAACATTGTAAACTCTTACTCAGGTATAAGAACTGAGATCCCACATACAAGCTTAGAGATTGCCTTCATTCTCTGGAACGATGCTCTAGGCATACATATTCCTCATGCCCTAAAGTTTTTAGTGGTCTCCATTGCCTAACCTGAGTTTATTACTATCCGTCTGCTGGAAGAAAAAGAAAGCCAATTTCCTTCCTCAAAGAAGAATCACTCAGGTTGTAGCTGCCTTTGAAGTCTGCAGACACCTGGTTTGTAATTTGGCTGCAGGGAGGTGGCAGTGCTGGAGACGGAGTCCATGAGATGTGAGAGGGTGTTCTGGAGTGCCTGCGGGGCGTGTGCCTGGCGGGGCTGACAGTCAGCACTGGTCAGACCACATGGGGCTTAGAGTGCAACCATTTTCCATAAAGTATAATATGCAATTATATCAGTTTATTAAAAGTTGAAATAAGTTTGTTTCCAGCTTATGCGCTGTTCTAAGGGCTCATCTGGGAGGAAAGACCTCTGTCTTGGAAAACGTTTCAGCTGGGCTCACCTTTGTGTGGTCTCGCTTGCTGACTTCTGTTATAGTCATTTACATGTGGCAGATTATGAGTGGGTCTTGTGCAGGTATTTCTTGGGAAGCATTTATTGTCTTTCTCCTCTAGGGCGGCTGCTCGGTGGTTGAGGTTAGCCATCTTTACATGTGTTATTTACTGCTGGGTTCCTTGCGGTTTCCTTGCTCCCGATGGGGTGGTAGTCAGCATGTGCTAATGGCTGCTAAGGATCACAGAGGGTAACCAGCCCAGTCACCCCTCATGCTCTAGGCAGCGCCACTGCTGCTAAGATATCCCCGGAGTTACCGTCACATGGGGTTTGGGGACTTGAACTGTCCCTGTGGACTCACACAGTCATCCCTACCCCCTGCTGGTCCGGTGCTGGGCACAATGATCTGTATTCATCAAGTACTAGTCAAGCACTAGTTAACAACTAAAGCCGTCTACAAATAGTTGAGGCCTAACAATTGGATGCTGCCCATTGACCAACTGAGCAAAAACCCACCTTGAGTGTTGCCAGTCGGGGGCGCTCTGCAGCCGCAGGGGCTAGCTGACTCTGCCGGCTCTGGAAACTTAGTATCTTTTTGTCTTTCGTTCTGTTTTTAAAGATACAAAATGTTGTACACTTAATGATACTATTTATATAAAAATACACGTGCAAAAAGAAAAGATAGTAAGGAAATACAGAAAAACGTTAACTCAGAACAGTTGTGATTAACTTGGAATTAGGAAAGTAAGTCATTTTCACTATATTTTCCACTTGTTTTCCATAGTCATAATGTATTGTGGGGTTTTTGAGTGCTTAATATAATTTGTGATAATATAACTAAGTAATATGAACATTTAAAATTTTGGTTTTGAAAACTTATATGTCATTTGTGGATAAAATGAAAGCTCCTGTGGCCAGGATTCTCACCTGGCCCTGGTCGGCTAGCTCACTACACATGTGTGGGCAATGCATGGTTATCGACTCTATATAAAGAGCTCCACCCAGTGCTCTGGGTGACACAGTGGCACGGCTGCAAGGCTGCAGGAGAGCAGAGCAGAGGCTGGAGTGGTGGCAGCGCCGAGGACAGAGGCCCAGAGGCAGAGACCGGCTTGCTGCCTGCAGACTCGCTCTGAGTGGACAGGATTTTAGCGACTGACCTGCCACCATGGAAACAATAAAGTTGGGTATAAATAATCCTTTCACCCCAAGAACATTTTACTGTCATTTCTTTGGTCACATTGAATCCACAGTGAACTTGCCCGGGGCTGAAACCCATTGGCAGGACATCATTGTACAGGATTAATCAAAATCCAATGCAACCTTTATAAAAGGAAAAGCTGTAGTTCTATTATTTCTACAAAATGTTTGTAATTCTTTTTTTTCATATTCTACAAGACACTAAAGTCTTCCATGATAAAGGTGTTGGTTACTGATACATCTTCGTATTGTAGAATGGACAATCTAAACTTCAATATGCAATAGTTCAGTGGTATTACAGAATTATTCCTAGATCTGTTATTTTAAAATTTTCTTCCTTAAATTTTTCCCGTAGCTGTTAACTTACTGCTCCACTAGGCTTTCCGTCATTGCTTTTTGACACATGAGTGTAATGGCACGTAAATGCTATTGCTACTAATACATATCTTCAGGGGTGCAGGTTCAGTCCCACATTCTATTTTCTGACCTTCTTGCTCAGGTATTAAATGTCTAATGGCATTTATATGTAGAGGAAAATAAACTTTAATATTTAAAATAATTACTGGAAGCTAGATACAATATTGTATTTAAAGCTCAAATTTTGATTGCTTTATGCAAGGCGTTGTTCATGATTTTTGGAGGAGGTCATGGGAGGAACATGCTTTGTGGTTGACCCTGCAGCTGGATCCAGGAGATGGGGGGCTCCCCACCACTGCCTTTGCCCTTGGAACCCATGCCCTGCCCAGTGTTCCTGGAGCAGGAACTGTTTCACGGGGCAGATTGGAGAGAGTAAGGTTTTCTTGGGGACCATTTGGACGGTGTTTGTACCTGAACCCAGTTAAGGCCCCTCCATGAACTTCTAAGATTGGGGCAGGTAGGAGCAGACACCTGCTCTTGCAGCCACCGCCCAGCACAAGCCTGTTTGTACTTCCCACCGCCGCTTCCACTTGCCACCTGCCCCTGCCCGTCTGTGGCTGCCTGCCCCTGCCTTCTGTCTCTCCCCGTCCACCAAGGTTCCGGCCGGTTTCAGGAAGCTCCCATGCTAATCCCAACAATAATCCATCACTTTAGGCTCTCTTTCATGAATTTAGTTTCTTATTCCCTATTTACTTCCCTTTTCTACTTCTAGGGCTTCTTCCCGGAAGGACAGGGCCAGAGAAGAGGGCCCGTGGGTTCACTTTGGCTTGGGTCTCTGCATTTTCCCTTAGGACATTTAAAAAAATCTACTGAAACCATTTTGGTTCCACAGGAACGCATTTTGTGAAATAATCTAGCTAGACCCACTAGCATTTTCACTTCGCTTTCATTCTTAAAGGCGTTTTTTTCTGGTTATAGAATTCTCAGTTGATAAGATTTTGGTTTCTCGCTCACACTTTAAAGGACAGCCTCCCACAAATCCTGGTCTCGATTTTTTTCTACCGAGAAGTGAAGAGCTAGTTGATTCGTTGTTCCCTGTGTGTGATGCACCATCTTCCCCTGTCGGCTTGCAAGATAGTCTTACTCTTTGTTTTCAGCTTTGGAACGTTACACACCTTAGGATGGTTTTCTTCATATTTGTCCTGCTCAGATTCAATGACCACCTTGAATCACATTTGGGAATTTTGTGGCCATTATCTTTCCAAATCTTTTTTCTGTCCTATCTTTAATCTGTTGAGATGAGAATTATTCACATGGAAAGCATTTTATATTGTCTTGCAGTCTCTGTTCATTTCTTCACACTTCTTTCCTCTTCTCAGATCTGATCATTTCTGTTGCTCTGTTTTCCCATTCAATGTCTCTTCCCTCTCTCTTCTCTATTGTACTGTTTGCACATCCAGTGGTTCATTTCAGATGTTGTATTTTCAATTCTAGATTCACTACTTTGCCCTTTTTTCCTGGCTTCTATTTTCCCTGTTTAGCTTTTCTATCTTTCAATTAATTATGGGTACCCTTTTCCTCGAATGGGACTCATCCTAGTAGCCACTTAAAAATCTTTATCTTCTACCATCTGGGTCATTGTGGGAGGTTCATGGAGATTGTGCCTCTTTCTTCATAATTTTCTTCCTTTCTATATTGAGTAATTTTTAATTTTACCCTTGGTATTGTGAATGTGAAGTGGAAAGTCTGGATTCTATTATGCTTCTCTGAAGATTGTCTTCAATTTTCAGTGAGCACCTGGTGGAGTGGCAACTTTCATGTAAGTTTTGCTCTTTCATCACGATCTGTGCCGCCTGGAATCTCCCAGTGTTTTCATGGCTCAGGGTCACCCTGCCTTGGGCAGCACTTATACACAGGATTTGAGGCTCTCCTACTGACTTTCTTAATTCTAGAATTCCTGCTCACTTTCCTGCTGTGGCAATTGCCTCAAACTCTGTTCTCCCCAGAACCTGTGACTTTGGGCTGTTCTCCGGCACCTTCGGAGTGTCTGTGTCGTACT